GCCCACCTTGGCCTTCCAAAGTGCTGGGATTACAGGTGTGAGCCACTGTACCTGGCCAGTTGACAGCTTTTATGGTTTACTATAACCATATATTATCCCAAGAACTTTGCCAGAGTGTTTCATGGTAACTCAGCTGGAGTGTTATCTTGTAGGTATGTTCTTCATGGGCCTCGTACTTAACTATAGCCTTTCTGTTTGTCTGACATCCAGAACATCTTCCAGGAGTATGGTTTTAATGTTCTACCTACTTATTATCAGCAGGTTTCTGCAGATATGCTGAATTATCATTTATTAGTACTTCAGTTCAAGATTATGAACTGACTCTGAAGTGATTAATAAAAAATTTAAGTTTCCAGCTGGGCATATGGCTCATGCCTGTAATCCCAGCACTTTGGGAGGCTGAGGTGGGCAGATCAGAAGGTCAGGAGTTCGAGACCAGCCTGGCCAACATGGTGAAACCCCATGTCTCCTAAAAATACAAAATTAGCTCAGTGTGTTGGCGGCACGCACATGTAGCCCCAGCTACTCAAGAGGCTGAGGCAGGAGAATCGCTTATACCTGAGATAGTGCCACTGCACTCCTGGGCGATGGAGCGAGACTCTGTCTCAAAAAATAATAATAATAAGTTTCCCTAGATCTCTGTGTCCGTAACACCATGTTAAAAATAGAGAAAGGGGAAGAGAGGAAGCAAGAGGAGAAATAGAGAGCGAAGGTGATGGTGAGTGAAAGGACTCTAAAGAAACAAAGAGGAAGGACAAGAGCCAGTGTGAAATTTTTATGAAGAGTTGCTGGGTGCATAGTACTTGATTCTCTTTTACTTTTAGTGTTTCTCTTGAACCTGGACATATAAAATTCCTTTTAGAGAGGTTTCTTGCTACAACAAAATAGATGCAAAAAATATTCTTACACAGTTCATTTTCTTCTAAAATCAAGACTGCCTTAGAAAAACCTCCTTTGAGGGTAACAAGTGACTGTCTCTCTGTCTTAAAGTTCTGTCATGAAGCACTGTTAAAGCATACCTTCATCAAACCAGGTCTAGAAATACAAAATTAAATCAAAAATTATTTTCTTCATAATTTTGTGGCCATATCAGTTTATAATAGTAGTTATTTTATTGCAAGTTGTTTTGGAGCACTGAAAATAGAGTTCAAGTTTTCTTTTTTTTAAATCAAGCATGGCTTCAGAAATATATCAATTTTATAGGATGGCAGATGTGTATTAAAATTCCTTTAAAATGTATTAATCAACTTGGCCTTCTTTCTGTTTTCTGTTTATAGTCTTATTTATGATACAATTGATCTGGCATTTTTTCTTTCTCCTGAGAGTTACGTGTTGAGATTTTTTTTTTTTTTAATGCTACCCACAGTGGAAAAGGTCAAGAACCAGTGGGATGGCACCCAGCATGGTGTTGAGCTAAGACAGCAGCAGCTTGAGGACATGATTATTGACAGTCTTCAGTGGGATGACCATAGGGAGGAGACTGAGGAACTGATGAGAAAATATGAAGCTCGACTTTATATTCTTCAGCAAGCCCGACGGGATCCACTCACCAAACAAATTTCTGATAACCAAGTAAGACTCATCAGATATTTTATGGCAGTATTATTTTGTTGGATATACTGTTTTTTTTCTATTGTTCACTGTAATAATTCTCCTCCTCCTCCTCCTCCTTCTTCTCCTTCTTCTTTGACAGTTTCACTCTTGTTACTCAGGCTGGAGGGCAATGGTGCAACCTTGCCTCACTGCAACCTCCGCCTCTCAGGTTCAAGCGATTATCCTGTCTCAGCCTCCCAAGTAGCTGGGATTACAGACATGCGCCACTACACCCGGCTAATTTTGTATTTTTAGTAGAGAACAGGGTTTTCTCCATGTTGGTCAGGCTGGTCTCAAACTCCCGACCTCAGGTGATCTGCCTGCCTTGGCCTACCAAATTGCTGAGATCACAGGCATGAGCCACCACGCCAGGACCTGTTCACTGTAATTCTTAACAATAGGACCCTGTCATGGTGTTTTCCTAAGTTCCTAGAGTATATTGAAATTTATATGAAGAATTTGATCTGGAAGATTTTTTTTGAAAAATTTCTGGAGGCATAACAAGTGAAAATGTACATGTCTCCTAGATTTATAGCTCACTGACTTTCTGCAAGTGAAACACACCCACAAATCAGCATCTAGAAAGAGAACATTTTCAAGATTCCAGGAACCTCTTTTGCTCCCTTCTATACTGTATTAGTCTGTTCTCATGTTGCTATAAATAACTACCTGAGACTGGGTAATTGATGAAGAAAAGAGATTTAACTGACTCACAGTTCTGCAGACTTAACAGGAAGCATGACTGAGAGGTGTCAGGAAACTTAAAATCATGGCAGAAGGCAAAGGGGAAGCTGGCACCTTCTTCACTAGGCAGCAAGACAGAGAGGGATAGAGCAAAGGGGGAAGTGATTGATTTTTATTGATTGATTGATTGATTGGAGACATTGTCTTGCTTTGTCGCTCAGGCTGGAGTTCAGTAGAGCAGTCTCGGCTCATTGCAACCCCCACCTCTTGGGTTCAAGTGATTCTTGCCTCAACCTCCCAAGTAGCTGGGATGACAGGCATGCACCACCATACCCAGCTAAATTTTGTATTTTTTGTAGAGACAGGCTTCTACCATGTTGCCCAGGCTGATCTCCAACTCCTGAGCTCAAGTAATCTGCTCGCCTCAACCTCCAAGTGTCACAAACTTTTAAACCATCTGATCTCGTGAGAACTCATTCACTATCACAGGAACAGCAAGGGGGAATATCACCTCCCACCAGACCCCTCCAATTGGACATGAGGCTTGGCTGGGGACACAAATCCAAACCATATTACTTACATACTTATTTATCCTGAAGTTTATTTTTATTAATAAAATATTCTGAGACTTTCATTTGAGGGCTACTGTAGTGTACAAATCAGATGTAGTTACTTTTGATATCTTTTACTAAGTAAAAATTAGTTACTTTTAATATCTTTTTACCCAAACTCTTTTATCAATTTCATAATAGCAAGTATCTTTTTCTGTCATCAGTTCGGTTATAGAGTTGATAATATTGAACAACTGTAGTATTTTTAAAAGTGCTTTTAATATTCTCTCTGTAATTATAAAATATTCTTGAATTGGAGATTTTGGTTGTGAGGTTATAGTTTGGTATAACAGTTATTTACCCTCAGCTAGCCTAAGACAAGTGTATATTTGTAAAAAATTTAAGAGACTATATGTAGAAAACAATTGAAAATGTAGAAGTTTGTTTTTATTCTCCACAAATGCAGACTTTCCTTGGTTATAATTTTAAAAGCAAATGGCTAGTTAATATGCGTTTCTGGATCATTCTCTGTGTTAGGGATACCTGCTGATGGTTTCCACCAAGTGACTCTCAAGTAATAGTGAAGCTCCTGCCCCTTAACTAAAGAAATGCAATTAAAAGTGATGTCAGTGTTTCAGTCATCATAGGATAACATTCTTTTCTAATCAGCAGCGTGGTTCTTTTCTTCTGAAACTTTAGGGTGATTTGAATTTCCCAAATGCTACAGAAAGCATTATATTAAAAGTTTCAGTTGTCATTTAGATTTCATGGCGACAGTCTTGATCTAGAGACTCTCGGAGGCTGAAAACCTGTGTCAAAGAACAAGGGCCAGTGCACAAATTCTGCATCAGTTTGAGTATTTAGGCAAACTCTCAGTAAACCTTGGTTGGCAGTTTGATCCATTCAAGATTACATTTATCTTTGTAAACACACCCTGGGATCCAGGGGCAAAACAAAAAGACGTCCATGTTGTTGATCATTCACGTTTCTCCCAGGCATGTATGCAAGAACTCTCTCTCTCCTTTATAATGCATATCCCTGTAAGGATCAGAAGTACAGCAGAAGGAATGAAAAATGCAAATGGTTGGAGGAAGGAAAATATCACAAAAAGAAAAAGATAATAATCTTGTAATATTATCGTCTGTGTACCTGACCACTCTCTTAACATGTTTCTTTGTATTTCTACTAATTTTGGTTTAAGCTTACATATAAGAAAGAGTTTGTCCCCAGTCATTCATCTTTTGATATCTGTATCTAAAACATGTCCAAATCTTCGTACTATTGTTTTGATTATACTAATTACTGAGTGACCAAGTCTAACAAATAGACCTGCACTTGCACCTCAGATACTGCTTCAAGAACTGGGTCCTGGCGATGGTGTCATCATGGCATTCGATAATGTCCTGCAGAAACTGCTGGAGGACTATGGGAGTGATGACACAAGGAATGTGAAAGAAACCACAGAGTACTTAAAGACATCGTGGATCAATCTCAAACAAAGGTGAGTCTGAAGCCCTGGCAGGTGAATGTACATCGTCAGGTTGAGAATTTGATTGCTTTGGCTTCCTTATGAAAACCTGCCAAACATGTGGCTGCTGCAAGTACATTTTATTATTATGTTTTTTTTATACTGTGACATGCTGAGTTAGTATTATCATACTTTGTACAGAATATATGTTTATATCATATGTATTTGGATTTTTACAATGGAGTTTTTTTTTTTTTAATAAGCCTAAACCTTGCCAATGATTACGTGTTCTGATTGTCTTACCCTCTCAGTATTACCTAGAATACACTTTGCAGTACTCTGATGGTGAGGAGGGCAGGTGTTTACAGATGCATCAGGGTAAGAGTATCCCTAAAGGCAATTGTAATGGTGTGCTATTTGGTTGCGGCATCCTAAGTTGAAGACCAGACACACAAGGATCCAACACTAGATACCTGAAATAATCTATGTGCATTTAGGATTTCAGTTAATTTACTATCTTTTCTCCCATTACTTTGTCTAGTCAGAGTATCTGGAACAGCCCAAAATAGAATATGTGTTTACAAGAGAATTTTCTGTCACTCGAACACCTAGAATCTGAGAAACTATAAACAATGATTAGCATCTTTTTAAGATTGCATATTTATATTCCATCGTTAGTAGAAAAAGATGTTTACTTCCTGCATATAGTACTGGGAATGCCTGTGTTTAAGTGAAATTGCACACATCTTTTTCTACTAAAATGCAACTGTCTGAAAACTAATTTCGTATCAAAACACGTCTGTTTTGCCATGAATAAAATGGGGTATTAGAGACCTTTATATTCCTGTTAATAAAGTATGGCCAAACATTTAATAACATTTTGACAGGGAGAAGTTTTGTACATTTCCAGAATGTTATTTTTAGTTAGAATCTCGAAAGCTCTGAAAACTCAAAGAAGAGAATTATGGGGCAGAATGTGAAGTTGAATGTGTTGTTAGATATACCTAGGATACTGGAGAAGATAAGATTGGGTTAGCAAATACAAAACTTCGCAGGTGGTCATAAATCGTTCTACTCTAAGGACACATGCACATGAATGTTTATTGCAGCACTGTTTACAATAGCAAAGACCTGGAACCAACCCAAATGCCCATGGATGATAGACTGGACAGGGAAAATGTGGTACATATACACCATGGAATATTATGCAGCCATCAAAAATGATGAGTTCGTGTCCTTTGTAGGGACATGGATGAACCTGGAAACCATCATTCTCAGCAAACTGACACAAAAGCAGAAAATCAAACTTTTCTCTTTTATTGTAATAGATTATTTGGATATAGTAAGGATATCATAACTAAGGTGGGGAAGAAGGTGAATTAAGAAGCCGGGCGCGGTGGCTCACGCTTGTAATCCCAGCACTTTGGGAGGCCGAGGCGGGTGGATCACGAGGTCAAGAGATCAAGACCATCCTGGTCAACATGGTGAAACCCCGTCTCTACTAAAAATACAAAAAATTAGCTGGGCATGGTGGCGCGTGCCTGTAGTCCCAGCTACTCGGGAGGCTGAGGCAGGAGAATTGCCTGAACCCAGGAGGCGGAGGTTGCGGTGAGCCGAGATCGCGCCATTGCACTCCAGCCTGGGTAACAAGAGCGAAACTCCGTCTCAAAAAAAAAAAAAAAAAAAAAAAAAAGAAGAACTTCAACCTTAAGAGATACGGTCCTTAAATATACTTTCTCTTTGTGTTTCCAGAGTTCCATGTATGAGAATTAGGACTTTGTTTTTGCTGTAAACAATACCAGAAAAATTGATCCCTTAGGAATGTGTGGCCTGCTTTATTTAGCACCTCCAATTCTTTCTTTTTTGCTTTTACTTTGTAAATATTTTAAGACAGCCTACAGCAGTAGTTGGATTAGATGGAAGAGGCAGTTAAAAATGAGTTATATTGCAAGGTGATTTTTCATTTATCATAGCTAAGGCAAACATGCTGTTCCAGTTCCTTTGTAGTTACAAGTGGATGTCCTTGTTCTGTTTACTCTCTGCATTTTGGGAGGGGAAATAAGTAATTATATTAATATTTAGACATGATTTAGGTATAGTGTTATCTATAAAGCAGGGAAAACAGAACAAAATTGGCTCATGGGATCCCTTCATGAATGACAACTAGGGCTTCTGTATATAAAGAGAGTTTTCCCTTTTAAACACAGTGAAAAAATATTGTAAATATTTACAATTTTTAACTGTTTTAAATGAACTTCTTTGTAGAATGCGTTAATCTTTCTTTGCCTTCTTAAAGTTTGTGAATGTGTATTTAACTTTTTTTTTTGAATTCTTGGTGTTACTGCTGCGAAGATAGAATTAAGGAACTTGAACGGATTTACAGTTCTTCTGAACCAGTGTTTCTCAACCTGTTTTTACATTATCACTTCCCTAAGGAGCCTTTGTAGACCCATCTCCCCCATGAAATTTTAATACCATGATACACTGTGTACTGTATGGTTATACTTTATACATAAAAAGAGTACATTTTTTTCACCCTCCTTCTGAAAAGAAATAACCATTTATTACTTCTGTTGAGAATACATGGTCTAATCTAATGTTCTCAGGCTCAGAGAAGTTAAATGATGTGCAAAGTCATGGAGCACAGTCAGGATGATATTTCTCTATACTAAATGGTAATGCTCTTCATGCTCTGAGTTCTGAAGAATTGGCAGTAAATTCATTCAGGCGGCTATACTTTGTGAGATTTCGGGCTTTGTTTTGTGCATGTAAATTTTGAGTACTGATTCATTATCAGGCACGGTACTAAGCTCTTCACACACATCCTTTCATTTAATCTTCACCACAACCACAGGAGAGAGGCGTCATTTTTATTAGCCCTGTGTTGATGAATAAACTGAAGTACAGAGAAGTTAAGGAACGACTCAAGATCACACAGCTTATAATGGCAGTCCTGGGACTGGAATTCAAACTTGACTGGCAAGTCAGGCTCTTACCGTCTCTAAAAACAGTTCCATTTTTTCTTCTTTGAATCAGACTGTCAGCCGTTGCTGACATTCTTGGTGCCTGCTTTGTGTACCGCCTCTCAATTCAATCTGTAATTCCGTTTACTGATTCTTATCTGTGTTGAGTTTAGAAGCCAGATCAGATGAAAGATATGGGGGCCTTTTTTTATGAATAATGTAATGCACTCCAGCACGTGGCCATCACACCCCTCTAATGGCTGCTGAGAGGCATTTTTACCATTGCTGCCCTCTTGTCTTCTAACCTATTTTGTCTATGTGTCATTGTCAGCCAAATTTTGAGGGGTGAAGGGTTGTTAGACTTGCACATGGAATACTGTTAGTGCAGCATAATGTGTGAAGTTTAATATCAGCTTTCAAAGGAAATGTTTTGTATGAATTGCAGTTAGCCTAAATAATATGGCTATTCACAATTTTAGGTCCACAATCTCTTATCTGCAATGCCAAAATCTAAAAACAGCTCAGATAACAGAAAGCTTTGAATTACCATGGGGCTGTTTATTAAAGTCTTTATTTATTCTGGTTAGTATGAATAGCCTTGTTCCTTGCAGCAGAAATATTAATGTGTTTGATTGCTTCCCCAGACCCTGCTCAGGGGTTGTAGTTAATATAGTTACTTTCATATTAGTTTTCTAATGTACAAAGAAATCTTAATTTGAAACACAACTGAGCCCTGATTTTTTTGGATTCTTTGAACAGCAGGCTGTTTCTGATGTTTCTAACTAATCTATATATTCTGACCACTACTATTTTTTTACTTACAACTTTTTTTTCCTTCCATCTCTTAATGCTAATTAACAAATTTTCTAGTGCCAGTTGAGATAGTGATTGTTGAAAGGTTTTTATAGTACAGTTAGTGTGGATGCCTGATTTGGGTCTGAAAGGCTATTTTACCTGTATATATTTTGGCATTCTAGGACTAAAATAACATTTTGTGTGTGTATGTATACACACACACACACACACGATGCATGTATATACACATGTATAACTGTATGTATAGATGTGTTTGATTCCACATGCATGCATATACAGGCATATATATATACCTGTATGTGCTGAAGTATTATAAAGGAAATGAGACAGTATAACTGTGTGCTATAAACAATTTCTTAGAAATCACTAATTACTCTGTCTTTTTCTCCTTGTCCTTATCCCATGAAGTCGTTTTACCGTGCCTCTGTTAAGGTATTTCTAGGTTTGTACAGGCAGAACAGAAAGCACAGTGTGTATGGTATTGGGCAATCCTTGGTTAAAAGCCCAACTTACGTACTTACCTTCTGTGTGAACCTGTAGCAAGTTAACTCGCTGGGTCTCCATTTCCTTGATTCTAAAGTGGAGAACATGTCTAATATATAGGGTTGTTGTAAGATCAAAATTTATGTATAAAAGTTCTTGGTAGGTGGTTTACGCTCAATGAAAAGTAGCCCAAACTGTCGTCATCTGCTCTTTCATATAATGTCTTTCTAATAAATCCAGTGCCTTTAGTCAAATGCACAGTACTTTCTGTGGTTAAATTAGCAGAATGTTGAGTCAGTATCAGTTGTCTGTCTATAGTCATTTTGAACTCTACTTTAATTAATGATAAAATACTTGATTGTCTGCTTTTCTGAGTGCAGAATAGATATTCTAAATCTTTATTAAGATGAAATTTCTTGAAAATGCAGTTTCCTTGGTTTGCAGAATTATCACAGTTGCTGAATTTACCTTGCATTTAAGTGTTTTATGCAAAGCAAAAAATAACCATCCTGGGAAGAGAAGGTACAGAATTTAAAAAAGACATAATTATTTATTTTTATAAGATAATTTTTATTTTATTTAAGTTCCAGGACACATGTGCAGGACATGCAAGTTTGTTACATAGGTAAATGTGTGCCGGGGTGGTTTGCTGCATCTGTCAACCCATTACCTGGGTAATAAACCCAGCGTGCATAGCTATATATCCTGATGCTCGCCCTCCTCCTGGCCCCTGCCTACAGGCCCCAGTGTTTGTTGTTCCCCTCCCTGTGC